TCACCACCACCATGATGGTGGTCACCACTGTTGTTACCCTCCCCCCCCACCGCTGCAACTTCTCTAACTGCAGTCCTAATGTTACTACGATGGTTACTTTCACTGTCACCTACTGCAGTTCCTGCTGCTGGTATCACCACAACTACGATTGTTATGTCACTATTACTACTAGGAGCTCTGGTAGCGTGGTGGTTACGAATCGGGCTGCGAACCGCAAGGTCAGCAGTTCAAAACTACCAGCTGTTCCATGGGAGAAAGAGGAGGCTTTCTGCTCCCGTAAAGATTAACAGCCTCGGAACCCCTGAACAGGGTCGCTATGGGTCGGAACCGACTTGATAGCAGTAGACAACAATTATTACTGCAATGAACACTGTGATTACTGCTATAAACGACTATTTGTTGGTGGTATTGTGTGTTGTCGAGTCAGTTCTGACTCATAGTGAGCTGGTATAGAGTTTCTAAGCCTGTAAATATTTACAGGCGTAGAAAGCCTCATCTTTCTCCAGTGATAAACTACTACAGTTATTAATATTATTTATTGCTACTACCCTAATAGAATTCCCCTATTGGGCTAAGGTAAAATTCCTGGCTTCTTTATAAATACTTTTGAGAATTATTTTTTTAAAAAAAAGTCTTATTAACATTGACTGATGTCTTAGCAAACATGAATGGATCCTCTCACAGTTTAGGAGGGCACCACTCTGAGGAAGGCTTTCTGTCTCCATGGAGTCTTAGGGAAAGGTCCTTGTCTCCTGTCAACATCTGTGGGCTTGCTGCTCCTTGGAGATCTCCATGTGTCTTGCTGTCACTCTTCCCCTGGGTCTAGGAGGTTCTCAGCATGGGGACCCTGGGTCCAAATGATGTGCTCTGTTCCTGGCTCTTCTTCATTGCCCGTGCTGAGGTTCAGTCTTCTCTGCTGGCATCTCACTTCTTTGATCTCTTGTAGGATAAACAGTGATGCACGCCACAAAGGCAAAGATGAACAAAGGCAAGTATGGCAGGTGGAAGGAGAGAGAAGAGAGGCGTTGTCATGGGAGACTTGGAGTATTCGTGCTCACGGTGAACTCTGATGGGCGTACTGTGAGGTTTCATAAATGATGCCACTCGAGGGTTATCCCTGTTCTGGGTCTCGGTGTCTGACGGTGTTAGGGCACAGCCTCCAAGAGGGACGCACACAGCCTCACACAGGGATGAGAGCAAAGATGGGGCCAGACACGAGTGGGTGATGCGGGGTCTGCAGAAGCTATGCGGGGTCCACCCCAGGTAAGGTTCCCTCTCAGTGCCCAGCTCACGTTTGCAAAGGAATTGAATGTTGGCTCTTGCCAAGCCCAGATAGAAAAGTCAACTTGTGTTAAAAGCAGCACAACACACTGATGAGCATCACCCAGTGATGCGACGTCGGAGCACGTCAGGGTGTAAATGCCCATTGGAACTGCAAAGCCCCTCAGCACTTCTAAACCTTGAATTAGCCAAATCTCCGTTCTCCCCTTGATCACACATTTTACTGTGGAATTATTTAAATCTTTGCCATTATATTTTATAGTCCTGGGGCTATCAGAATGGGGTGAGGACATATGGATTATGCTTTATATATAATTTATTATAAATGTAACATATCTTTGTAATAGAAAATTAGAAAATAAGCTGGTATCTGCACCTTCATGAGTTGCTGGTTAACCCCAAAGTATCCTCACCTGGCAGAATGTGCTGGAGGTGCCCCAGAAGTGGAGTTGTATTGCCAGTCAGCTCTGCTCTCCCCTCCCAGCCACTCTCACTTTCCCAAGGAGATGACTGGAGTGGTACCCTGAACTATATTGGCCTCACAGTCAACTGTTGAGTTCTTTCTCACACTGAATCTTCTTTACGATGGTGTAATGTCAAAACACAAGTAAACAAAACCACTTTCCTTACGAGAGGTGACTGATTGGGTGATTTAAAACCAGAGTGGTGAGTGGTCATCTAAGGTACAAGTAGTCTCTCCCCAAGCAGGACACCGTTAGTCCTTTACTAATGGACTGTGTCAGACACCCTGAACCCCGTCTGGAGGGCGTCGAGAAGGTGGTGATGATGAGACATGAGGTGTGACCCTGTGCCAACTCACAGGCCCCTTGCTTCTCCTGAAACCTGCCCCCCCAACCATCCCAGCTCCCCCCAGCCGGGCACCTGCAGCATGAGGGTCCTCTCCCGGCGGGTGACATTCAGGCTGTGTGGCTGTCCATTGGCCATGCTCCTGTGGTCCAGGTCCACGTTGTAAGGCTCGCGCGTACCACCCAGGTTGTACCGGACCTGCAGGCTTCCTGCGGGGAGCACAGGGACAGCAGTTGTTGCTAAGTCTCATTGTAATGCCAGCCCCACGGCCACAGATGTTTCCAGTGATGCCCACTGACAACCCCCTTCCGAACTCTGCCCCACCCCAGGAGCCATAGGGCAGCAGGCTGTGGAAATGGTGGGCACTGGTCAGTTGTGTCTGGAGCAGAGGAGTGAAAACACACTCAGTATGGACAGGGGAGGGGACCCCACAAAGTACTCTGAGATAGAACAGAACTGGGGTTCATGGTGGTCCCCCCAAAGTGCTGTGGGATAGAACATAACTGGGGTTCAGGGCAGCCCCTGTCAAAGTGAGATAGAACAGAACTGGGGTTCATGGTGGTCCCCCCAAAGTGCTGTGGGATAGAACATAACTGGGGTTCAGGGCAGCCCCTGTCAAAGTGAGATAGAACAGAACTGGGGTTCAGAGTGGTTCACCCAAAGCGCTGTGAGATAGAACAGAACTGAGGTGCAGGGCAGCCCCTGACAAAGTGAGATAGAACAGATTGGGGATGCCCAGTGGTCCCTCACACAGTGCTCTGAGATAGAACAGAACTGGGGTGCAGGGTGGTCCCCCCAAAGTACTGGGAGGTGCAGCAGAACCGGATGCAGGGTGGTCTCCCTGTGATGTTGCCTCAGAAATACTGCCTCCCTCCCACCCTCTTGGCTAGGCCCCCCCATCTACGTTCTCTACCCTTCTCTCCAATAATCAGTTTTGCACATAACATGCTACAAATTGCTTGTCTTCTTCCACTCAAAAACAAGGTCTGTGAGAGAAAGCATTTTTGCTCATTTTTTGTGTGACTGAACTCCCAGCATCTAGTGTGATGTCTGGTGTTGTGAGCTATTGCGTCAGTTCTGATCTATGGAGACCCTCTAAGACAGAGACCCCACACCACAGGGCTCTCCACGCTGGTCTCCTGGGGACCCACTGTGGCTCTTTCAGTTAGCTGCCCGGTGCCTGCTCTGAGACTTCAGAAACTCGAACAGACCCATTACTCCTGATGCACAGGAATCCCGCAGGCAGGTGGGAAGCTTAGGGAAGCAGATGACCTTTCTCTCACGGAGCTGCTGAGTTAGCAGCCCAGTGCTTTAACTGCTGTGCCACTAGGGGTCCTTCCCTAAGGCCTGAACCTTTTACCAAGCTCACTGCTGCCAAGCACACTCCGATACCTAGCAGCAACCCTTTAGGATAGAGTTGGACTGCCCATGGGGTTTCCAAGGCTGGAGAAAGATGCCACTTTCTGCTTCTGCAAAGATTTCTACCTCAGAAACCCTACTCTGAGTTGGAAGTGACTCGATGGCACTTTAGTAACTTATGGAAGCCAACTGCCACGTCTTTTGCCCTAGGAAAAGACTGGTGGGTTAGAACTGCCGACCTTTCTGTTATGGTCAAGCTCTTAAGCATTGGGCCCTCAGGAGTCCTTATCTGCTATGTCCCCAATGCCATAGAGTCGGTTCTGACCCAATGACCCTTTATAGGGTTCACTGCAGCCAACAGCTTCATCTTTCTTCCTCGAGCATCTGGTGGGTTTGAACCCCTCAACGTGCAGTGCTTATCCTATAGTGCCACCAGAACTCCTTTGTCTGATACATTGTTGTGTGCCATCAAGTTGGTTCTGACTCATAGTGACCCTGTATAGGGTCTCTGAGAGCGGCTGGCAGATTTGAACTACTGACTCTGAGGTTACCAGTCCAGCAATTTTGTTGTTGTTGCTAAGTGCCATGGAGTAGGTTCTGACTCATAGTGACCCTGTATAGGGTCTCTGAGAGCGGCTGGCAGATTTGAACTACTGACTCTGAGGTTACCAGTCCAGCAATTTTGTTGTTGTTGCTAAGTGCCATGGAGTAGGTTTTGACTCATAGTGACCCTATATAGGGTTTCCGAGGAGTGGCTGGTGAGCTCGAACCACCCGTCTTGAGGTTCAGTCTAGGGCATTAACCTGTACGCCACACGAGGATAGGTGGGGATTATACGGAGACCAAAGATCTGTCTGCAGTGAAACAGACACTTCCATTCCCTTTACCATTTCCTTGTAAAACATGCGAGGGGGCTTCAAACAGTTTGTGGGAAATGGAATATTCATTAAATGATGATGACAATTTCCACAAACGTTGTGAAGCACCTCGTGTTTGAGAGCATAGGGCATCAAGACAGGGAAAAGAGCTCTTACTTGTTCTGACCATTCTACTGCAGTCTTATTTAGGGGAAACGTAGGCCACCATCCGGAGCCAGAGGGTCTTACAGAGTTCAACTTAATTCAAAGTGTGCAATTTTTCGATTTTCTTTTCAGATTAACTAAAAAAGTTCGTAACACAACCCAAATCTCCAAATGGTTAACAACAACAAAATCAGCCATTTCCTTTACAGATCTGAATTAGTTGGACTATATCTTTGACTATCTAAGTTGCCTTTTTGCTTAATCTGTAGACAAATGCATTTTTTTTTTTTTAAAGCAGGAAGGTTTTCATTAAGCAGAGAAAAATAATCTCTTAAAAAAAACAACAACAAAAAAACACTGAGTAGGTTTAAAAACCCTTACCGAGCTAGTCCCTAGGTTAGAAACAGAGCGATGGTCAACAGGACACTCAAGTGTGCATGGGGACCACTTTCTGTTGGTTAGAGAACAATGGTGAGGTGGGGTTTTACACAGCAAAGTCAGCGGAATTCTCATGTTTCACAGTTTTGTTGCTAAAGGTCTCTAAATTCCTTGGGCACATTAGAGAAGTTTCCCGAATATGTGCATTATGGTCAACAGCAGTGAAGTACCCAAATAGTCCAGTGATTGTTGTTGTTAAGTGCCATTGAGTTGGTTTTGACCCATAGTGACCCTGTATAGGGTTTTTGGGAATAGCTGGTGAGCTTGAACCACCAACTTTGGTTCAATTGACTTTGCAGTCTAGTGCATTAACACACAGCGCCACACCAGGATTCCAGTGCAGCAATAGTCTGGTGCATATTGTCGTTAAGTGTCCTTGAGTCAGTCATGCTGTACACAATTTCTAAGGAGTGGCTAGTGGGTTTGAATCAGTGACCTTGCAGTTACCAGTCCAGTGCTTGTCTGGTACATTGTTGTTGCTAGGAGCCGTCTAGTCAGCTCTGAATCATAGAGACTCGATGTGTAACAGAATGAAACACCGCCCAGTCCTGTGCCAACCTCACAATTGTTACGCTTGAGCCCATGGCTGCTGCCACCGTGCCAATCCATCTTGTTGGGGGTCTTCCTCTGTTTTTTGCTGACCCTTTACTGTGCCAAGTATGTTGTCTTTCTCCAGGGACTGGTCCCTCCTGATAACATGTTGGAAGCATGACAGATGAAGTCTCATAATCTTGACTTCTAAGGAGCATTCTGACTGTACTTCCTCCAACACAGATCTGTTTGTTCTTCTGACAGTCCAAGGCACTTTCAATATTCTCCTCCAAAACCATAACTCAAATGCATCCATTCTTCTACTGGCTTCCTTATTCACTGCTCAATTTTCAGATGTCTATGAGGCGATTGACAATACCATGGCTTGGGTCTTGGTCTGGTACATCGTTATTGAGTGCCGTTGAGTCAGCTCTTGTGCATGTTGTTGTTGTCAGGTGCCATCGAGTTGGAACTGACTCATAGCGACCCCATGCACAGCAGAACGAAACAATGTCCGATCCTGGGCCAACCTCACTACCGCTGCCACACTTGAGTCCATCAATG